GTCCGAATTAACTGAATGACGCGGCCTGGAAGGCTAGACTTGTTTGAGAAAACAGGGTATCGATTAGACAGTAAATGAGATGTATACAGTCAAACGCAAGCAAAAGTCCTCGTGACTGACTATCGCCGCTTTCATTAGCGTACGTCGCCATGTTTGAATCAACCCCTCTGCACGGCGCATTTTGTAACCCTAGAGTCTAGAAGTTGCCAAAAAAAGTTTTAGCTTTAAGAACTAAGTAAAATCCACTGGAGCACCACCACTTCTTAAGCCCCAATGTTGGTTTACTTGCTGTCGTTGTGGCCAGAGGACAATCTAGATAGGTATCAAAAGTTCTTGGTATGGTGAAGGCCTCTTACGACTGAGGAACGGGTCATTATGTCGATTCGACCACCTCGTTCAGTACAGTGTCTTTCTCTGAGACAGTTCTTGGTGCAAACAAAACCTCGATCAATTCTTGTAACCCATTCAGGGCGTGTTACCGAATTCCACCTCACTCGTAGATGGTGAAGAATACAAGTCAATATATGAAATATATATTTGAACTGTGCAGAAAGATATCAAGATGTGATTGATCATCTCAGTTATACACACAACTTAAGCAAGTTGTGAAATTATTCTTCACCATCTACGGGTATATTACTAACTCACAATGTGACCAGCTCAGTCCCAGTTGGCTTGATCGCTCAGTTGGTAGAGCACCGCACCGTTATCGCAGAGGTCATGGTTTCGAATCCCGTTCAGGCCTGAATTTTTTTCAGGCTTCAGTTTCACAACTGCTTAAGTTGTGTGTATACTTGCGATGATCAATCATGTCTTCTTATCTTTCTCCGCAGTTCAAATATATGATATTTCATGTATTCACTTGAATACGAATATTCTGCGAGATTCTCTGTTACGTACAGTTTTCTTTTTCACCCTATCGGATCTTAAGGTCTGTGGGATCGCCAGGAGACCTGTGAATGCTCTTTATCTGTTCTCCTGTATTTTGACTTGCCTCACGGGTCATCAAGATAAAACACAACTCGTAAAAATAAACAGCGATACCACACACCTAAACATCTAAAAAGATATATGCTGATGAATTATAAACCTCAAATATTTATAAACAATAAAAATCTCACTTAACTAATATTCAAATTTCATTTTCCACTCTTCTCGTTGCCTGCACAGCAAGCCAGGCGCATTTTTGGACGCACAAAATACAGAAAAAGCCTAGCTTCCTGTGTAGATGAGCAGGCTACTCGTATCAAAAATCCGCCGGCCGATTTTGCTGGCTCGGAGAAATTCGGTATTTGATTTACACTATGTAGTTCTGGATTCTGTTATTATTTAGTACGAGGAAATTAAACTAAAAAGAGGGAAACTGTAAGTAATGAAGGCTAATACTCAGTTTATTGGCAAATCTCTGAACAGAGATATCGTCCACTCGACATTTTGTCAAGTCGGCAGTTTGCGTAAAGTTTCACATTTTTGAGCCATTAGCATGGGAACAATTAAGCAATGGTTTCCTTATCAGCTCAGCGTACATGACGAAAAAGGAAAAAGGCAACCGACCCTTCCGGTCAGTAAAGTTTTTTGCGGGCTGAGAATATAGAGCATCCGCAATCCCATTTATGTGGTGAGTAAATAACGCCTTATCGAGAAGGAAATGACAGTCAAACACTTCAAAATGACAACTGTAGCGTCACTTCATTTCTTTCACACTACGTTTGGCCACATGCACGGCCAGCACCGCCTACAAATAGCGATATTTAACATGTAGGGTCAGCGATCGTAAATCGGCAAGCCTATTCCCGTTTGGGATTTTGGCAGATCTTTAAAAACGAAAAATAAAACATATGCATGCGAAAATGAAACTAAACGCTCTGTTGACAGAAGCAACAGGAAATGTCCAGTGTTGGGACGTTTATCCGTTACATCAAGGGGAACAGTGAAAGAACGATAAAGTTACTGTTTACGACTGGAAGAAAGATTTCCACACACATGGGGCAAAAAACATCCACGATCCAAGCGCGTTGATTTCAGTTTGAAACAGCCTCAAAAGTTGCATGGGAGAGCTTCCTGACCTTCTTGTCCAATTCAAGTTTAGACCTTTCCTTACAATCGCCGAAAAAAACCTTCGAAACTGAAAATTCAGGTGAGGCCCTATAAAATACGATACCATTGTTTTGAGGGTTATTTCCGCTGTTATTGTAAGGGGACTTGATGTGTTTCCGTGCCGATGACTGACTGATTCAAGATTGAAACTTCAACAAACCAAGCTAGAGATACATATTTTTAGCATTTTATGATTATCTGAGTTATTACAGTAATAGTGAATCCAATTATTTGGATATATTGAAAGCGTAGGAGGTACGCCCATGTAACTATAAAAAATTGAACTCCAAAGAAGGACAAATTATGATCTCTTCTTTCTTTTTCCGTTTTGATCAAAGTGGACAGTGTAAAAGCTCTCGAGCCCAAAATAGTGAAATCTTTTAACATGGAGAACATTCTCCGTACGTGAAAAAAAGGAAAAACAAAGGTTACGCGAAAAAGCGTAGACCAATGAAAAACTTGTGCGGAAGACATTTCTTGACAATTCCAAGCTTGGTCGTCTGTAATCAACGACAAACGATTGAAGCTGGAGTTATTCGTACTTCTCTGCCTGAGAAAAATTTAAAAGTTTCACAAGAATAGGTTGTGTACTGGATTTCGTGGTAATTTCCTTCCTCGCAATGTATTTGCGTCGTCGTGATCACATGATCAAATTCCAAGTCAATTTGGCACATGGCCTGACCTCTTACCAGCTTGGCAAACAGAAGATAAAAATTACCGCTTGGGTAATTAATTCCTGTGGCGTGGCATCCATGGACAAATATGATAGCATTGACCCCTGAAAACGGGTTCACTGCAAGTAACTTGCAGATAACAACACTCAGCGTGAATCCTAGAATTATGCTCGCATTAGAATTCACTCACTTGAAAATCCCACATAAATCCTTAGCAGAGAGTGAGCTGTTCTCCCGCTGTAGTAATTCAAGAGGTGGAGTTTTTTCTTCTTCCCTCCTGTCATTTTAGTTTTCGAAGTAAACATGGAGCGGTATAATTTCCATTTCGTATCTTTCTTTCAGCGCTTGCTATCGGTTTCACGTTATCTTCTTTATTTTACCTGCCTCTCTGGAGAGTTTCAATTTGCACCATACTAAAGTGATATTTAAGTGCTGTTTCACTACATAAAAATCACACCATTTAATGTAAATTGGCTTAGCACATTTAAAACCAGAAATAAGAATCAGGAAACTCGAGGATAGTCCTGCTACGACCTTAGAATATCATTTGGGTTCCTGTGTTTTTTTCTCTTAAACGACTCTTTGCTGCTGAAACCAATCAAGAAAAAATTAACCTTGACTTCATGTTTTTTTCTTTTTTTTGAAATAGTTTAACCTTTGTGTTTAACGAAGGAAGACCGAATTCTTGGCCTCTCTACTCGGTGAACTCAGATAAAAACTGAGCAACGGAGAAAATCCGTGCCTATCATCGGAAGAGAACACGATGCTAAGTGGAGCCTTAGGGGGTATGATGCCTGCAGTGAAAGATCTTGAGAAAGACAGTCGTGATAAAACGTGAAAATCCTGAGCGACATGGAATCTAATTTTATCTATAACATCTAAGAGTCATCTTACATCTTTTACCGATGAATTCGAACCATGACATGTTCCTTTCTATATTGGGAAGGAATTCAAGAGGAAAACGCGGTACAAGACCTTACTCAGCTTGGTGAATAAAACGGTGACACAGCCCCGGGGACACAGCACTGAGACTCGTTTCTCTCTCTCTCGGTTCAACTTCCACGGTATTAAACAGAAGAGAAGTCGAAAGAAGACACTGTTGTTTAAAATATCATTGAGCTCAAACAAGACGGAAATTCTGGCTTATGTTTCATTCTCTTGACCGCTATCTAGCGAGCCCTCGTTTTTGCTGTATCGCAAAGAACATTCTTGTAGTTGCTCAGTTCTATCTGTAAATCTGTTTGCAGGTCAAATTTTCCCTGCGGTAATCCGCATTTTTTCCGATCCCAATCGTTAAACGGATGGGAAAATATTTCAAGGTTTAGTTGCTACGTGTACAAAATTAACCTAGTCGCTGACAACGCTAAAGATGAATGGTTTAGATTTCCCTTTACTCCATGTATGAAGAAGGCAGACAGTATTTACAGTGTTTGAATTAGTTTTTCAGTTTGAAGACACTATAAACGAAGTTACAACTCACGCAAAGCTGTCGGATGGGATTCAAAATAACGTTGACGTGATTTTCTGACAAGTACATGCAAGCGAGAAGCACCCTTTTTCTTGTCACACACCCAACTTTGTCAGTGGACCCTGCCAATCAAACGTAATCAAATCATATCATTTCATCTACGTCAACCTAGTTGAAGCCAGCAGCTGCATGCTAGGTACCGAGTCTTTGAACGGTGTTTGTACCGCAAAGACAATGCTGGAATCACCACTACATAACCGTTGAATTGGACATTCACTGTTAAGGTAATCATATCTAACTGAAACATTAGTTTTTGACGATTTTCCAAGTCGCTGTTTGTCAACTTTTTTAAGCCGCGCTAGCACGAAGGCGACCGACCGCCATATTTTATTAGAAATGACCTTGTACGGCGGAAAGTTGTTTCTTCAGTAAATCGCAGACTTTTGAGACTTTGTGAGAGATATAAAGGCCAGGATCGGTAGAGACAAGTATCTGAAACCCGGGTCAAAGTCACATATCGTTCTTTATCACAAAGCGACTCGGATCGGCCATTGTTGTGTATCAACTACATTATACATGCGTAGGTCTTTGTCTGTTCAGCATGTAAATATGAGCGGATCACGACACGTACTTTCAAACTCAGCGAGTGCTGATTGAAGTGGTGCATTGAATTTTGGCTAATTTGGGTCACTAGAACGAAATCTGTTGGTTCAGACGTCGTTTTCGCCACACTTGTGTTCAATGTTTTGTCTTACTCTGTCTCGCCGTGCGATAGTGTTAAGGAACCTGACCCTTACAAAGATTGTGTGTTGCACATCATGAAATTTACCCGCTAACAAGATCGGTAGTACATACTGTTATGGTCAGCTAGCTTTCTTAATATTTGATGATAAAGCATTTATTTTCGGAGCCCATGTCGTTTTTCTGTCTACTGTAAGACAAATGCATTGTCTGTAATTTATATGCAAATTTTCGTATGTTGATGATGTCAAACAATGTACGCACTTTTATTGAGTTCAGTTAACAGATGTTTTGATTTTACAAATAAACAATATATTCATCACGCAACTTCAGTTATCGTTTGTCGCGTAGTAAAATGGTGGAACGTCAGGTTAAGAGGTTATTTGGATTACGTTTCAAGAAATTTAAGCTTAATAAATCCACATCTTGTTGCTATATCCTCGAATGGTAAAGTTGAAGTCGAAACTGTATGACATGAACGTGGACATTTCTTCGCGCTCTCATCAGCAGTCGTCGCTATCTCTTCTCCTTGCACTTTCACATTGTTACCGAGAAGAAAGGAAGCGGTAAAATTGCTAATGGGTTTAGGGTTTGTTTGAATATCTGCGGATTTGTATAATGCCTAAGTACAAAGATTAACACGAAGATTTTTTGCCTTGTGCAGGTAATACCGACAAAAGACGTTATGCAAGACTTCAAAGTCTGCTATCTTCCTGGCATCATTATATTGTTGTTTCTCATCAGATTAGGTAAGGAGTCATTTGTTTATTAAGTAAACTTGTGCTGTGCTGCTTAAACAGATGCACATACTTTTGGGTGAAAAAGATTCTCGCTAGAATTACGTTGTTAGAAACACTGTACGACTTCTGATCAGTTGTTCTCGAAGAGGCCTAGTCGCTCGCGTGTCTTTCTTTCTTGGTTACATCTCTACTTTCGTGATCACAGCTCGACTGTACCGTGATAAAGATCACTCCAGCGGGGTTTGTAAGATAACGTGATACGGTTGAAGCCGATTGTTCTTGAAGAATCTTTTAGTCCTTCTTATTGGCAAAAGTTCAATTCCACTATCACTGCTGGATAATGTATGTTTGCAGCTATTCGTTTATGTTTATATCAACCTGATCAACTAAAAGCTCACATCAGCAGAAAGAAATGAATTTTGAACTCATTTGCTTTCGCTTTTTGTTTCACGTGGACAAACGTATCATTACAGTTGTTACTATCTACAGCTGATGTTTAACCTTTTAAACTGATTGACTTTGTTTCTTGGCATTTAGTGTTTATAATTTTACTAACATGTATCAACTTAACCATTCTGAACTGTTAACCCAATTTGGCATTTTGAATAGGTGCTTTTGTCAATTTACATATAATATTTATCTGAAAACTTTCTTTGGGATTCCATCTTTTGTTTCTAAATTAGCACATCAATCATTCTTTGTTTAAAAAACTAATAATATTATGTAACTGTCATAAAAAGGTTGTAGCTTTTCATTGTGGTGAAGTAAAAGTGTAGTCTAAGAAAAATTATGAGGAGCCCAAAGGTTCCTAACAATGAAATCCTGGGTGCCCAGCACTTAAGCTTAAATGAAAAAAATAAGTTTTCCCAGTCACCCTAAGGGAAGTATCAGTCGCCTGTGGCACCCGGGCCCTTCTAGAGCACAGCCCTGTGAAGAAAAATAATAATAAGTGGTTTGCCTCATGATATGGTCACTTGTGATATAGATCATGATGTTTCAACTACATACTACCAGTCTTCATCTGGCAACAAGGTTGACTGGTTACGTGTCACATTTAAAGCATGATGCTCCACTGTGATTGGTTGGATTTCAACAGCTGTGATTAGCGCTTTTTGATTAGCGCTATTGTACACCTCCTGTTTTTGTGCCCGTACTAGACCTCTGCCATTTCAGAGCATGCCCTGAATGCACCTGCTTCAGAATGAAGAGAAGTTTATTGGTCGTAGTCTTCACGGGTACACATGCAGGGTCAAAGAAGTGACTCTTGGATACTTCACCCTAACAACATCAACAGGGATGGTCAAATAGAAATTCTTGAGGCGTTGATGCACACGATCAAGACACGCAACAGCAGGAGAGCTGAACAACAGCAGATCACCAGTGAAACAGCAAGGATGGAAATATGCCAATCACAGCTGTGGAAAACGAACAAAATAAACAGCAGAGCATCTCATTTTATGAGTGGTGCAAAAGAGTTAAACCTCATTGCCAGATGAAGACTAGCAGTATGCAGTGAAACATCATGATCCACATCACAAGACAGTAACCTTCCTGTGATTATAATTTGTTGTTATTAACTTTGTAATTGTATGTGGCTACCTTGTTGGAAAATTGTGAAAATTGCAGTCATACCCTGGTACTGAATGTATAACACGAAGGGATATACCCACTTTGTTCATGTGTCTGCTTTAACAACGTGTAGAGTTTTACTGTAATTTGTCACTGTAACCTGAAAATACTTTTAAGCTAATGGCAATACACTTCCATTCTGATATGCCTCAAACCATCCTTTTACAAAGCATCTAGTAATGGATTTGTTACTAACCATTTATTTAATAACTCCCGGTAGAGACCCTGGTAAGGCAGACTGATGCATGAATAACATGTGTACATTTCTTGATGTTACACAATCAGTTCCTGGGTGTGACTATGCTTACAGCAAGGGTGAATGTATAACACTAGGTTCAGGTGTGTACCAGGTGTTCACAAAGAATGGGATGTTAACAGTGATATGTCATATGTTTTGGTCAAAATTCATCAAACAGTATGGTAGCTTATTCAGAATTGTAAAGTAGGGTAAAGTCTGCATATGGATTTCCCCCCCCCCGTCTGGAGCATTAAATTATACACCTGGGTGGAGAGAGGCACTGCTAGAGTGAAGTGTCTTGTCAAAGAACACAACACAATGTTCCCATCCAGGGCTTGAACCCAGACTGCCTGATCTGAGAGTTGTAGAAATGTAGCTGAGTCAAAACTTACATTTTTTAACACCCATATGTCACCTTTTATTCATTAATAATTGATAACTGTCCGCAGAGTTTGTTAGCTCCACACCTTACAAACCCTTACAATAATTTGTTTGAAAATGATAGATACAGAATCATTTGAGAAAGATTCATAAAAACAATATATCAGAGGTTACTCCTGCTGATCTAAAAGTTGTTTTCCAGTCATAACAAATTTCAACCTGCCTTTCATGTGTCTAGGAAACTATAAAAAATATAGATATTTGATTGACTTTGTTGCCTTTTCCTTTTGAAACAAAGTGAATGTTTTTTCCTGGTGTGCATGTAGTTGACAAACTGCAAAGTCACCTCTAAAAAAAAAAAACATTTTTGTAATGCCTGAGAGACATAATGTGGCCAAGTGGTGTAGGTTAAAAATCCTCCATTTTGACACCAGCTGGATTTATTCTAGGTGGTCCCAAATTCAGTTGAGACCTTGGCCAGTTGGAATGCTCAATGACTGTTTAGTTAGTGTCCACAATTAGCACAGTAATCAGAGATGGCAACCTAAAAAAAATCAAAATCCAGGAGATTGTCAATTTTACCTTCTCAACCATAAAAAAAGTTGTTTAAAGTAGAGCACGGCCAATTCAATGACATAAATGTGTCAAATATCAAAAATTGTTCCCAACAAAAATGCCATGAGGCAGTCAAAATATGTCTGAATATGTATTTTAGGGCTAACCTTTCCTTCATATTGTCTGGGAGATTCAGTGACCCATGTGGTAGACCGGGAGACCCTGTCTGTATCTGGGGGACTCCTGGATAATCCAGGCTGGCAAAGATGAGTAGTGCTAATTTAAATCCATGCACAGTTCAGTTACTAAGTAATACTTACTGGCATTATGTCTGCTGGCATGCAGGGCAGCCACAAAGGTCCTCCACTCCTGTCTGTTCTGGGATAGCTTCGAGATGGTACCCCAGTTTTGGTTAAGTGTCTTCAGCTTCCCCTTCACAGTTCTTTAGCAGGTGCTTCTGAATCTTCCTTGTTTCATTTCTCCTGGTGTCCAGTGCAGGGTCATGTGTGTGATGTTGTCAGGTTCTCTTCTACGCATGTGCCCAATTCATCTCCATCTCCCTCTCATGAGAATGGTTTCCTTGCTCTCTTGATGACACAGAGCAAGTGGTTCCACCAATACCCACACTTCGATAAAATATATATTTTGGTCACATTATACCACAAAATGTGAAGATTGTAATGTAAACCTAAGGGCAAGGGAGTTGTGTGGGTCTCACTGTATTGTGCTAGTTACTAATGCCAGAACTCATTAAAAGTATTACAGCAAAGGAGATGACTAATGTAGTGCATGTTATTTATTTTCAGGGGTCTCACAACATTCTAATGGAGGGGACATCTCGAGTGGCACAAATAACCAAAACACGCACAGAAATGCTGATTACCTTCTCAAGCGAATATTGGAAATGAAAAGGACCAACCCCCAAGAAGGTCCCAAATACCGCAACATCAATTCAAGTGCAGACCTGCACAATATTGTCAATCCACGATTTAGGACAGAAATGGCAGTGCTGTTCTCAAGGCTACCTGAGTATAACCAGTGTGACATACTTGTTGCAGTGTCAAAGACAACACAGTGTCCTGTGTCAGACATCATTGAACTTTTATTCAGCTTGACAGAGATGAAACAGAACATAAACGTGAGTTGTCCTGTTGGGGACAGAACCAAGCTAAAGCTGTGTAGTCAAGCTAACAAAACATTTATTGGTGAAACCTTCTGCAATGAGCTGTTAAATGTCTTCAAATCACTCCCCTCACCTTTTAAATGCCATGTGATCAATGCCATTGCTCTGGCTTACAGCCTTAAAGGCAGACGAAATCTAGCCCTGTCTGTCAGTCAAACTCAAAACGCAGTAGCAGAGATATTCCCGTCTGTGAGCCTGCCTAATACTTGTGCAGACCTTGAAATGGATCATATTATACCATCTATCCCTCCAGTTAATATCACAGTGGCCTTGAGCAATGCAGACAAGAAAACCTGGTTACAAACTTTAACAAAGAAAGGGCCTGAAATTTACGAGATTGTTTTAAAGTATGAATATGAGAAGACCCACAAAGGAAAACTTTTGGGTCCTACCAGCCTTGCTCAGTATTTAGAAGAACATGAACTTAATAGCACTCAACTTGTTACTGTTGGAGTAGAGGGAGGCAACAGGATATTTTCAGTGCTGTTCAGATTAAAAGTGAAGCGCAAGCCATCCAACCGATTGAGAGAAATCAGATCGACATACAGGATCGTGGAGGCTCTAGAAGCCAAAAACCAGCAAGAGTTGAGAGAAATCTTCAATGCCAAGATCATTTCCGTTAGCCTGGATGGAGAGAGGTCAAACATTACTAAATCACCACCAAAAACTGACAGGTGGACTGTGAATCAAATGGATATGGCAAAGGAGTTGTTTCCTGCAAACCTTTCAGAATATTACAAGCAACTTGTGAAACCAGCAAGATGCTTTGTTGTGTTTTACATCTCGCTTAAAATCGGCAAGAGTCCATTGGAAGTTGAAATGTTCTATTCTTCATTTAAACGGTTTTCGAGAAAGCATACATGTTATTACACCAGGAGAACTGGTCCTACAGAGACAACTCTTATTAACGGGTTCACTCCTGAACGTTTTACTGGGAATGCACTTTCAACACAAGTTCTTTCTGTAGAGACAACAAGAAAACCATCAACTGTGAGTGATGGAGCTGTTGATCATATTTCTGACAAGGTGGATATAGAAGACTCATCTTCCTTGGAAATTGCACTTTTTGCTCTCTTGGGAACTCTCTGTGTCTGTGTTTTGGCATTTACCATTAACTGTGTTATGTTAGCTTTGAAAGCAAAGCCTATAGATCAGAGTGATGGGAGGCCAAAACCTATGCTGCAGACTGCAGTATTTCATAAAAGCAAAAGTGTTGCAGGTTGCAAAGAAACTGAATGTGTACACTTCACAGACACAAATGGTTCCAATTGCCAGCCATCCAATACAGAACATCCTCCTAAAGTGGAGACCATTGTACACAGTGACAAGAGTTGTAATTGTTTATGCCTTGTCTCGTCATCAACACCTAATACTATTAGAAGGTGTGATTACAATAAGTCTTGTTTAAAAACCTCTCAACCTGTGCTACTGTGCGATAATGGTGGAGCGAAGAGAGCAAACTCAAGAACACAATTAGAAATTGAATATTGCTTAGGTTCTTCACCAGTGGCAAGAACATTTGACACATCACAGCTGTGTGTGGATGACAGAGCAGAGAACAGTTCTCCTGATATGGAGGAGAGTTTTCCTAAGACTGATTGTCAATGCCCCAAAAGACCTCTGGACAGTCAACAGGGTGATGGCAGAGTTTTGAAATCACAGGATAAAGCAACAAGTTGTTGTAGTATATCTGACACAAGCTACAAAGAACATTTATCTCCCAAAATGAAACATAATGGCTGTCTTCCCACGGAAGAGTCGCATGAAACAGTCATTGTTTTGTTGGACTGCAAAGGATTCAAAGAAGCACAGGTCTGACACAAGCTACAAGTGTCCTTATGCTCTACTGAAACTTCATATTTAACAAGGTTGCTCTATATTCATTATTTAATTAACTAGTTTTTATATCTTGTCTCAGGTAGTGAGACAAAATTTGCTCCTCATTATGTTATATATGTACCAACTGCCCTTACCGATGTTCTCCCAGTTATGACTTGTTATGTAGATCAAAGTATGAAGTGCGAATACTTGAAATACCTTAGCCTGTGTAGTAGACATTTCCTTTCCATTTTCCAGGTGGGGAGATCAAGCAAGCGAACAAACAAATGAGTGTGCCTGGGGTGAGCAAAAAATGAGAAGAGGGGATGGGAAGTGGGGAGGGAGTGAGCCAAAAAAGGAGGAGAACGGGGAGGGGTGGGGAGGAAAGGTGAATGCCTGCTATGCAGGTTAGACATATCTAAATGAAGACTTCTGGTTTCAAACTAATATTGTTGCCATACAGGGTGTCATTCATCCCAGTTGCTGCACGACCAACAGCACTGTAGCTCAACTGGGATTAATGGCAGTTGGGCATCTGTTGGGTTTGAGAAGTTATTCTCTTACAAGTACTTTGTTATGAAGTTCCCCATGGCCCTATTATAATGAGAGCGCAGAAATGTAATTAAAGTTCTTGCTACTCAGCAATACAGAGCTTAAGAATGATGTTCACGACAAGCTTCTCATTAAGGGCACGGCACCATGCAAATCGACTGGCTGTGAAAACTATTTTGCCCCCCTGGTTTGACCATCTGAAGGAAATTTTCTCTTATAACATAGTTCAGTTAAATTATATCTGCCTGCTTGTCAAGACCAGTTGCCTTCTTGCTGAAAACCTGAATGGAACCCCTGTTCATGATGTTGACAGGCAAGTTTTTTTTGGCAGAGGTTTGGCATTAATATGGTACTATTAACAACCAATACCACCATATTGATGTGATAGTAATATCCCTGTTGTTGTATGGCCCCAAAGTACTGTTCATTGTGCTTTAAAGGTCTATTATTGTGGCCAATTACATTACAGTAATTACAACTAAATGTTATAATTGAAGATACCCAGATGTAATCTTAGTTACGAATCACTCTCCTTATGATAAAGACACCTTTATATTACCAGGGCTGTCATGAAGTAGCTTTTAACTTCTTACCTGTAACAAACTTGTTACCTTATGGGTGACTCTTATCAACTATAGGCAAGTTCACCCATAACATCAAGTGCCCATAAAGCATATTCAGCCCTTATGAACCAAAGAACCCTGAATTGATACAATCTTTAATACAGACACCTTCATATATAGTGCAGACACTGTACTCAGACCCTTTCGTCTGGGGGTGGGGGTACTCTACAAAATCTTATATGGGGAGGATCCACCCGAAGGTCTAACCCCTTAGCCTTTCACATACCATTTAAACAGAAAAAGTACCCTTTTCATATACCTTTTATTAAAAAAAGAACCCCTCTCACTTACCTTCATGAGATCACTGCATCCCTTTTCTAAACCCTTGAGATAAAGTTAACGAACAATTTTTCTGGAGAACGTAAAGCATAACCTGAAAAGATGCTAACCGGAAAAAGAAGTATTTCATATTCAGATCATGTTGACATTGGACTTAAATGACAGATTTCCCCCATGTTTTCATATACCTTAACTTGTGAAATCCCTACCCTTTTATATACCTGAAGCCTGTAATAGGTGACCTCTTTTGGGCAGAGCCTCCCCGTGTAGGCCGTTATAGTGAGTGCCCCCACTTCCCGGGCCTTTAGTGTCCCTTACAGAAAGGTTCAACTGCACTGATTACCTAGACCACACTGTTTGACTATCACTGTGGAAAGCTCCCTATGATATTTCCAGAAAAATGGGTCCTTTATGATAACCAAAATTTTATTGACAACAGCTTTACAATCAAACAATGTAAGTTTATATTATTTGTAGAGAAGTTTCCTTTCCTGTAAACCGTCACATACGTGAAACTTTCCACTTGATTTCTTGTAGCATACGTACCAATGTGCCTGCAGACTTGTACATAAAGAGTTAAGGTTATTTATCTTGTCATTTGACACTGTGGCATTTGAGTGCTAATTTAGAAACTGGATGTAGTTATGGATCATTTCGGTCTAAGTGTTGAGACAGTTCCAGCTTTTGCTGGCTTTTAGACATTACAATAAAAGTTTGTTATGTTGCCATAATACAATCTGTAGATCTGTGGATGAAGCCTTATAAGCTGCCTTACAAGTTGCCCTGGGGGAGGGGGGGATTGCAGAGGGTTGCAGAGTTCCTTTAGCAAAAGTTATGGGGATAGCATCCTAAGGGGAGTAGTGTTAGCATCTCGAACTTACTTTGCTTATCTACATAAGCACTTGATACACCCTAATACTTTGACTTAATCATTAATGGCTCTGTCAATTTCAAGCCTGCTCATTTTCACCTTCCCCCCCCCCCCCNTTTTCAGAAGGTGGCAAATGCCCCACCATGGGGCAGGTGGTGCATCATATAAAATCCCCATGGTTGGGCTGTGAGAAAAGTGCAAATGCCCCACCCTAGCGTCCAAATTATATTTAGGATTTAGTTTTGGGTTAGTAGGATATCAGTATACGTCAGGAAAGTGATAAGAGCCACATATCAGGCCTGGCCAGTGATGGGTGGGGCGTGGGAGACCAATAGACCCAATTCTTTCCCATAAGATACCAATGTATCTCATCAACGGTCTGACTCGAAAACCCCACATTTAACCTGCACATTGAAGTTTCAAAATGATGTATTAAAACACAGCGAGGGCCGAAGCTCAATTCATTTTCGATCAATTCCGTTCTTTATTTATACTATAAGGGGAATCTACATACATTTTATAGGGTAAAGTAATGAAAATAGTAAAATTTTAAGAAATATGTCTTCAGCCGTTTTAACAAGTATAGCTCCTTTGCTTCTTTGATATGAAAATATCAAAGAAAGCATGCCCACAGTGTTGGAGGTTTTCCTTCGCTTTGAAACGGAACGAAACGAAACTTGAACAAATACTCCACGAAAACACCCACGCAACGCGAGAATAACATCCTCGAAAGTCGGACGAATCTGGGTACCATGTCTAAAAATAACTTAAGAGAGATTATGTTGGGTAAAAGGCCTACCATGGCCTATACTCTCTTAGCTTGATCTTCTCTTGGCCTCGGTTATCTCTAATTAGCTACAAAAATTAGACGGAGTTCTTGGTAGGAAACCAATGATTAAGGTTACAAATTAAGTTAATAGAAAACCAGCAGACCAGACTTCAAAATTTGAAGAATGTGGCATGCTGGCCATTGTTATTTCCACTGATACATGATTTTTATGCCTTGAAATAAGAACCTTGGCGTTTTAATGAAAAATATTTCTGTTTTTTTGTGTAACTCCAATCAAAAAACACAGTCGTCAGTGAAATTTGCATTTGAAAAGGTAGAAATCGACTATCTTGGTCAATTTGAAGCCACCTGGAGAGGCTATGATTTGAATTGCAGATCCGTTTTCACATTAATATTCAATTATTCATATTTTACAAGTCATTTCTACACGAAGAAGGAGCATGGCGAACGTCGCTAAACATGAACATCGTTCTCTGGTGCTTCTGAGGCAAAATTAGCTGGTAAGTCAACGTTGTCAAAGTCAACGCACCGAACATCGTCCATATTTCTTCATGGCAGCACGTACAAGGCTTAAACAGCAGGACGTGGAATGAATGTTCCTTTACAAGAACAACAAGAATAATGGCTGCAAGAAGTTGACAATGTATTTCGTTACGAGCCTTCTCAAGTTGAAAGGTAACCAGACTTACTTGTGGTGATATTTCTTTTAAAATGCTGTTTAAGAAAATGTAGCTTTATTTCCACAGAGAGTTCAAGTTAACCTCATCAACAAATAGGTCCGACTAATTTGAATATTATAAAATTGAATTCGGACAGGAGCCTTTTCAGATGAATGAGAAATTAAACTAAAAAGATAGTACTTTACACTAATCTTTCAAAGAAAGCCGAACCATCAATAAGCTTACAAAAGTAACGTCTGTTATGGAGGGGAGATGCAAGGGGTAAATTCTCTTGTTTCCTCATTTATTTCCTCTACTAAAGTCCTGGTGAAACAGTGCATGATTCTTCCGGGGGGTACTGCCAGAAAAATTGAGTGGGGGTGTGGGAAGCGCGTGTTACAACTGTCATGCGCCGTTTGACCAGGGCTTAAAGAATGAATCTAACTTGATTGGTTGGTTTGGTCGCAGTTGAAGAATTGAGCTGAAGAGATTTCTACACTGGTTAAAGTAAAGACTTTGAAGATACTTTATCAGTACTTGAAGAGGCTAAGCACAGGCTGTCAGCTGCAGGCATGTTTATCATATATCTTTGTTGTTTAGGCATAACCACAACAAAATATATTAATTAGTTACTGCTACAAGGAATGATGATGACGATGATGATGACGATGATGATGACGATGATGATGATGATGATGATGAAGATGATGATAATGATGATGATGATGATGATGATGACGACGACGACTGGTGTTACCATAAACACGTTGATAAGAAGAGCTTGTTGTTTTGTTCAATGCTTCATATTTCCACCCTTTCATTGGAGGCGATCGCAAGTAAAAAACGTTTTGAGAAAATTCTTCGCCAATGCAAACCAAAAATAACATCTCCTATAGTTTGAACACTTCATGAAGAGCTAAAATGCTTGGGTTCAAATAAATTTATTTTATCTTCACTTTAAAATAGATCATTTGGATTGCAATGGAGATGAGAAGCGCACTGCATCTTTAAATGATTCTTCATCCACCGCATGGGTAGGTACCAAACTCTTAAATGTTGCTATTAACGACCCCATTAACTAGTTCTAGTTTTCTCAAGAAATGGCGTGAAATGTTTTGAAGAGTTTTCTAAAGCTGATAGCATATTTTAAATTTTGTTTGCTTTCTTTTTTGTCAATTTATTGTGCCCACTATTTTCCAGAGAATATTAAAGGAACTTAGGAGTAAACGCGGCACTCAAAACCACTTTGGATGCTAGCATCATTAACAATTCAACATCCCTTCACAGGACACAGGCTCTTGGAGGAAATGATTATGGCAGTTCATAGATGAACTTCACCTGGCTCTCAGAGTACCAAATCGCACTGGAACCGATCATTTTAGACGTCGTGTACTTGGCTGAGGTAAGAGATTCTACTATAGATATCGTCATATTACTGTATTATGCAAGAGAGATAGAGTTCATTATCACGTTTGTATAAAAGCAACTTTAGACCAGATTGTGAACTTGTTGTTGATGTTGTTGTTGTTGTTGTTGTTGTTGGACAGCTATTAGATGAAATTGACTGAGTTGAAATGACTGGAAATGGCTTAGTTGTTTACGGACAAAACAGTCCATGTACAGGGGAATAATTTCCCTATCTTGACCCTCTCTCCTTTGTAGAATTCGTTGGTTTTCATTGTATGCTGTTACTATCCCAGAGACAAGTAAAACATTCTACCTGAGGAATGCTTTCTTCTGACAAAGTACCTGAATTTACAGCATCCCCAATACTATCACTTCCTCCTGCATTACACGTTTTAGTTACCCCACCCCTCCCCCCTCCCTCACACGTTATTATCATCAACATTGGGCAAGTTATTCAGCTCAGTATGTGTATTTACACTTTACTTCACTCCCTCCAGACAGAATTAAAATTGCGAAGTACAGAATGGGATGAGCTGGATATGATCAAACGCTACTCCAGAGGAGAAGGACAACCTCGGGATCAACTTTCTCAAAAGAGGTTAGTTGATCAGTATTAGACTTGCTGAATTCAAGGCTGTAGGGTCCTGTAGATCCATAGACTACAGAGAGTTTGTTTTTCCTTTTTCTCGAGCAAGAAACTATAGATGTAAGCATTGTCTGCCTCGCTAAAAACTAACATCTCCTTTAGCAGAGATGCTTTGTAAGCTCCCTGAAGGGACTAACCTGAAATTTTTACCTTTAAATTTTTACTTTTAAATGAAGGTGTCTATCTATCTAGAGCTGTTTCTTCATTAAACAGCTGAAGGGAAGCTACTCAAAGGCCGTTTTGACTTGCTACTGAAAGCTTATATTTGACTGAAAAGTGTATTTCTGTAATTTAGACATGTCCCAACCACAGGATTCTAATCTACAACTTCGTTTATTATTTGAAAACAATAGTGGGGAAGAGGGGGTGGGTGGGGGGGGGGGGGGGGGGGGGGATCAATCGCAGGGGTAGAAAAATCAGGGAACGCTGATCTTTCGAGTGCTTATCCTTCGTTAAAGAAAGGTATAATCGGGGGGGGGGGACTTCCATGTAAAAAGGATGTGGGTGCTCTTCGTACCTTTTAGGGTTAAAAAGCGCTCGAAAGGTCCACATTGGAGCTTTTGTGGTACCTTTAGGGTATTGATCCGAAAAATATATGGCAGGAGAAAAAAAATAAAAAATTGATTAAAAAATTAAATATCGCTGGAGATGTGTTGTTTTAGAATTAGTAGCTCTTAGGGGCGAAAAACATTTCAAGCCACGCCCACAAAACAGGACCTTGGTACTTCTTAGAGGTTCTTTTCAAAATTTCCGAGGAACAGCCTCGTCTCTTAACCCTGACTTTTTACTGAGCGGGCACGATGCTCAATATGTATTCACATGAAACTTCTCCTTTTTCTAGGAAAATGTCAAGCTTAGGATGAGCAAAGCTGGATTGGTCAGAAGGACAATTTCAGGGGATCGCGTTTTTTCATGAGGTAAGTTGATAAGTTCAAACGCATGCATTAACTGTAGGTCTGGACCAGGTTGTTAGAAAGCCGCCAATAAACGGTAATTCTGGAATACCACCGTTGACCGAGATTTTAAACTGATTAAAATTGCTTTTTTGCTGTTTAAATTCACAGTTTGGAATTTATCAAGAAATTGATTTTTGACGTTGATCCTGGATTGCGCGCTATTCAAATTTAATCACATTTAATCACAAGGAGAGGCTAATAGTGCCTGTGGCACAACAGGGAGGAATTTGGATTGCAAAAGACAAATAAAATTATTTGTGGATCGAAGAAAATTTTCAAAATAAAAGTGCAGAAAACAAACGAGCATGGACATAGCAAGGAAAAGGAAATAGCTTTTAGACATGATATTATCATTCTAATGAGCGTGTTTACGCTGAGGCCATAGCCGCGAAATCCAGTCAAATCAAGCCAAGTCGCATTTGAAGTTATTACTTACCTTTTTACTTCGTTCAGAATTATTGTTTAAGTTATATTTAACTAAAGCCAAAAACAAGACATTAGAAAAATTACAAGTGTTAAGCCCACGCTGCTTTTAGAAATTTCAAGACGAACACACCGGGGAATGCATGAAAACAAAATGCAAATCAGTAATCGTTCGTGTTATCGTGCGCCTTTTGTGCTCAACATGGCTCAGATTTACCTCGGAATAATTTCTTATTTTCCTGAAATAGAATTCAAGCGGGTCATGCACAAGATTATAAACAACCTGGTCCAGGTTTTTGAGTTTCCTAACTGATAGCCTCGAAATTCGCTGCTGTTATCTGGGGTGTCACTCAATAGACTCGTTGTTATTGTTGTGTGACAACCCAGTTTTCGGCCTCGGGACAAATTCGCCCAGTGTCATTTGGTTAATATATCAGTAACAAAAGTTTACTCCAAAAAATCGACTGCGATAACTAAAATGTTGATGTAACTGATCCTTGATTATTCGACCACCGGATTCAAGTTTTATTTTATGACGTCGACCAGGGTTTATAAAGCCAGAGGGATACGCTTTAATATTGTAATGATGAGTTTAAGTATTATATTTCAGCTTCTTATTTACTCTTTCTTTTATTTCGTAGGTTTGTGGATGCTTTGGACGCTCATGGAAAAACCAAAAGGAGAAATCAGCCCAGTGAAAGGCAATCATTCAAGATAACACTAAAGTTTACTCAGAGGTAGAAAACGAATTAAACCAAGAGTGTACTTCAAGACTAAGTCGAGAGAATAGCAGCGAAAATTTGTCACCAAGATATAGGGCTGTTATCAAAGCGAAGCAGTTTCTGCCATTTTGAGCTGTTTGTAAAATCGAAACTTCAACTGAAATTTAATTCTGGAAAAAAGAACCGTTTTTTCTTAGGATATTTCATGTTCAATTTTTTTGTGTCAGCTTTTTTCCTAATTAACATCGGTTTGAACGGTTTCAATTTTCCCGCCAAAAGACTTAGAAAAATTACGGGCGCCTAAAATACGCATGCGCCAATTTTTTTAAAAATTTCTCTATACTTGCTGTAAGTAACTGTTTAAAATTTTTTAATTTTCCCGCCAAAAAACTTAGAAAAAATACGGCGCCTAAAATACGCATGCGCCATTTTTTTAAAAAAAAATTAATATTTCAAGTCTTCTATACTTTGTAGTTATTTCTATCCTTAATAAAATTGAATATACTTGTTGTAATAAAGCTTATTTATATAAGTAAATAAACACAAGTCAAAATAAATACCACCAATAGAGTTTCCTTTGTCATGTTTATTAGTAATCTTTAAGTGTATATTTCAAGAATAATAAACAAACAATTACTTTTTGTCTTTGAATTGACTTTATTCATCTCTAATATCCTTTAATTACTTAATTGAAATTCGATTTAATCAATTAAAAAGGTGTCAAGAAAAAATGTTCCCTATATATACTAAGACTTTTGGCGGGAAAATTGGAAAACATTTGCACAGCGTTTCCCCTGACAACTTTCTGGATCAAAAATTCAAAATGGCTTCCCTTGAAATTTCCCGCCAAAAATTATTTGAACATCACCTCGTGCAAAAAAGTAAAAGTAAAACGCCAATTTGTTTCCTACCCGTAAAAAAATATCCGAAATAAAAAATTTAACCTCGCTTGTCTTAATCAAATTTTGAACCAAACAAATCTCTCACCGAAAAATTTCAGTTGTTTCCAAACTCTTTTGCACGAGATGATGTTTCGGATAAAACCCTTTTTCAACCGATCCTCATTTGTAACACAGGACAAATTAAACCAAAAACTGTCAAGACATTTTACCGTCGTAAACAATTTGTAACAACAGTTATGAAGTTTTGTAGTAATACAGACAATTTAAACTGTTGTTTGCTAATTTACCCGTCTTAAACAATATGTAACAACAGTTGTTAAGTTTTGGAGTAATACATACAATTTCAACTGTTGTTTTAGCCAGGCGACATTCGCTTGTGATCTTACTCTCTTTGTTGATTTCGGGTTTTATTTCAATTTCAGCGACAACTTCAACAATTCAGAAATCAGTTCAACGCGATTCAGTGTCTGATAATTTTTTAATTCGGTTTAACGAAATGTCCTGTGTTACAACGAGCGTCGGCAGTATAGGTCTTCATCCAGTTACAAATATATATTTTCAACCAACTTATCATAAAACCCAAGTGCCTGATCAAAGAGACGCGATTATATTCTGCAAGTCAGTTTAATTTAACCCCACCCTTATTAAACTCGAACATTTGATTGAAATAAATAAAGGTTATACGGACCACAATGAAAACAAAACCATTACATAGCGATAAAAATACGCCTTAGACGTAACATAAAACCGGTTGAAATTTGCGAATCAATCTTGTTTATTCGCTCAGAAAGCACCTTCGCAAATTGCATTATAATTTAAAATCATGAAGATGAACAAGACAATTGTGAAGCCAAGTTTATCACTGAAGGTTTTATTTTATCGTCGTTTTTTTGACTAAGAAAAGCAAAGAAAAAGTAAAAAAAGCATTCCAAAAGACTGGTGATTTGCAAACAAAATGAAAATAGAACTTTCCTTCTGCGGATTGGAAAATAATTCTAAGTCCGTTGCTTTAGCTATGTCTAGAATAAGAAAGCAATCTTAATTTTAAATCACGAAAATAAAGAAATTAAAACATTTGTGAAGCAAATTAATCAAAGCAGGTCTTTACATTCCACAAATTGAAAAGTTGATTATTTTCAAATCATCAGCTTCAGCTAGTTTGGTTTATAATTTTTTGGCCTGTATAATAAGACAACTGAAAATCTTGACTTTACTTGGACACCAAACCAGACAATCATACAACTGACTAGTAACTGCAGATTGTTTCTATTTTCGAAAATCTGAACTGTTTTCGACACAAACAATACTTGACAAACTAATGCGGTCAATTTGGTCGTTTTTTTCTGTGTGTGACTTTGTGGTCCGTACAACTCAAAAAGTGGAAATACTGACTTTATCTAGACCCCTTAACGTTACTAATATTCTCCGAGTCAGGCATTAGGATTTTATAACAATCACCCAAACATATGACAAGAGAATATAGACATCTTTAAACATTCACGTTTACGAAACGAAAACAAGCCAAAATGCAAACTACAGGTTTTTTGGGTTGCAAAAAAATTCTTATTAATAAATGGTTTGAACCCTGTAGTAAAGTAGTTTTTAAAGTGTGTGAGTAGTTCTGAAGCCAAGTCAAAGTTGTTCGTGCAACTGTTTAGTACGATTCCTCGTGGTATTTGTCGGCTGTTAAGTAATCAAGACTCACTTGATGTTTGTCACCAGTAATGGCATAATCCGTTGTTGACAGTTTTGATTCGTATAGCGAATCGTCGGCATTCGTATATGGTTAGAAAAATATCAGTTCGTTCGTTGGTTTAGTTGAGGTTGCGAATAATTCGTTCGTAGCGTGACAGTAATTGTCTTAAGTTAGTGAATTGGCCTTTCAGAGTCGGTCGCTGCAAGTAATTTGTACTGTAATGATTTATGCATTGAGGAGAGAAGCAGTCAGTTTGTGATTAGATGATGTTCAGCGAAGTAATTAGTGACATCATCGATTATTTGGCGTCGTACGTTAGTGTTAAGTCAGTCAGGGTTCCAACAGAAAAAAAAATAAATTATGACAAAAAATTTATATCGAAAAAGCCCATATTCTCTTGTAAACTACAGTTGTACAGTTGATGCAACATCAACTGAAGTTGTTAAATATAACAACGCATAAAGCACCGACTGTTTTGCAGACATGACGAAAAGATCTTGAAAAAAAAAACGCTAAACAATTAATCGAGAAACCCGTGTTTTCAAGAGCTAAATAATCGAATGAATTATACAAATTTCATAATATTTGAGATTCAAAATTTGTCAAATTGAATCAAGAAAATTTCTTTAAGAATTTGCTCCGCGCGAGATGAATTAAATCGAAATTATTCGCTATGCATGATGTCTGCAAAAGAATCGGCAAATGGTGGCTGATGTTTAAACCGTTTGAAATCAAAGAATTCTGTTCCATTTCGCAGATTCTAATTTAAAAAAGAATCTGTTTTCTCTGTTCCAGACAATTAGTATACAATTTTTAAGCCAAGAGTGATGTTCCCTTGCAAATTCAAGCAGTTTGTTCCATTTCCCAGATTCTAGTTTAAAAGGAATTTTTTTCCCTCCGTTCCAGACAATTAGTATACGATTTGATGAGCCGAGAGTGATTTTTCAGTACTGTCTTCTATTTTCCAGTCAATCAGTGTGCGATTATTCCCTTGCAAACTTAGCCATAGTTCAACCACCATTTTTACTAGCTATCTGATAATTCCAAAGTTCTTATCTTTGAAGAATTCTTGCTTATTCAGTGAATCAGTACAGTTTGTCCACGTCTCCATCTTCTTTACTCCCCTTTCCTCCATGCCAGAGTTAGTTTTCTCGAATTTCTGGAGACAGAATTGAAAAAAATCCCAAATTAGCAAATGCTGAAATATATTAAAGCTTCAACAGGCTCTTATTTATTTATTTATTTATTTATTTATTTATTTATTTATTTATTTTTTACTTATTACAGTGACTTTACAAATACTGGAGGGGCTACGAAACTGGCAAGATAAAGTTTATTCTGAAAGCCAAATTTGACAGCTCAGTTATGGTACAATAAAGCAATTACCAACTGTTACCTCTTAAAAATACCACTAGTAAGATATTTGAAATTCCAAATGGCTTCAATTTAATTTGTGGCCAGGTTAAAATTTCATTGCGCATTTTTGCCTTTGAACAGGTAAAAGGTTTCTTGTCCATTTAATTATTGCAAAGCATAAGTATTTGCTGGAGTATCATTCAGAGTGGCCGCACTTGAATCATTGCAAATGAAAATTAAGATACCGCTTTGCTGTCCTGTTTCAAGACGGAGGGATGAGCGAGTGCACGTGTTCACTCGCTTGGGTGACAGTTCGGTACTCGTGTGGCTTTCTGAGCTAAATTACAGGGATGTTTTCCAAAAGCAATGCTTACCTTCGACTGGAATAGAATGAGGACTTCTTTCCAAGCGTTAGGTCCTTCCAGCATCAAGCATCTTCTTCCTTCAGGAGTAAAATTGGCCCTCAGCCGGACGACACATCTTCACTCATCAACGAACAATCTGAAATGTGCAAAACTATACGATTGCTATGAATATGGATTAGAAACTCAAGCCAATCGCTGACAAACACCGCACGGATCCGACGCGGGAATTTGTTTGCACACTTTTTCTGCCAGCGAATCATAAACGACTAATAGAGAAAGAAGTCGCGTGTTTATGTATACAAGCTGCAAGAATTTGTTTGTAAGCATTCCAACTTGTTTTGCTGGCTATGTTGTTATAAATAAATTAAACTATTCTGAAAAATTTCTGTTATTATATTTCCTGTCCCGCTTGAAACTAATCAGTGAAGAGAGACCTCAGAATAAACCTTTTCATAACTAACTTTTTACTCACAGCTCACAAGGTGGGATCAAAACGACTTCTCTGTAAAATAATTAAAACCAAAGTTAAGCCGATCTGAAATGTGCCCTGAGGTATATTGAAGGGAACAATTTTTTCTCATGTAAACGGCTTCTGAGGATTTACACTATGAGTGATGACAAAAAATCTCTCAAAATCAAAACATTTTCGAATATCACAAGTACTGCTCGAGCTTTCATACGATTTCTCATTTATTACATGACTGAGAAAATTACAAAAGCGGGCGAGTTAATTTGCACTGAAGTGAAAATTAACCATAAATTAGCCTGCTCTCAGCCCATCACAATGAAGTAATTCTCTCAGTCATAAGATTATGTTCGAAAACCACGGGCGAGTTTCGAAGGACTGGCCTCCCATGGAATACGATCGCCTAAGCGTAAACCAACTTGGGGTTCGGGGGCCTTGCTCTCTCTTAAATACGTCGACTTTTAAGTTCTCTGAAATTTGAAATTAATAAAGGATAGTGCAAAACAATTGCAAACTTCAAGCTATGCCATTTACTGTGCTTTGTTTAGTTTTTCCTATTGCTGGATCTAGCAATTTTGTCTCAACCCGATTCATCTAACGATGGATAAAAGGTATTTCAATCAAAAAGGAAATCAACAAATGCAGCAAATCAAAAGTTTGAGCCATCGAGTCAATGGATTCAAAGCATATTTGCCTTTTTTCATAGGAGATGATTGTTCTCCAGACTTATGAAATTTAAGTCGATTTATATGTTTACTAGGACATTAACAACCAGTTTATTAACAACACTTGACATTCTTGTCTTCTGGAGTACAATCCTGAAAACCTGTCTGTATGGGAAAACAAATGCTGAACGATTCTAAACTTAGCCCGAAGCAAAAAGACCTGTGGGTCAGTTGCGTTCGGCAGCCAATAATCCGTCCATGAATCCTGGCGAGACTCCCCTTCCTCCGTTCGCGCCCAGAAATGAACGTAGCACTAGTGATTGCTCTTTTCTGCGGATGATATTTTGCATTTTCTAAGACAGAAAGAGCTCTTTGCAAAGGAAAATTTGAAATTTTTCCACTGTTTAATTTACTTTCAAATCAGATGACTTGCGTTTGGTACCGTCACACAACCTTTCCTCCTCCCAGGTCCCCCGGTGGGAGGAGTGCGCGAGGAGGCATAGGTCCAGTCACGATCACATGATTTACGTGATGTGCTTGTCACCAGACGCGAGGTGAAGAGGTGTTCTTGCTTTGATCGCGAGCTTTTCCGCTCAGCTAGCAGGAAAACAAATGAGTTTGGAAACTTTTCCACCATCAAATATGACTTCTACATCAGACGAAAAAACACCCCTCATGCGATCAGTTTCTGCTTCAAACGATGGTTTAGAAAGAAGCAGAACTAGCTTAAGTGATAGCGGCCATCTTCAAAACTTTAAACACTCCACCACACAGAGACATCTTCCATCACAAGTACCGGCGCAGAATTCCTTCTTTCCTTTGGTGTGTGTTCTTCTTACTGTTGTTCTCGAAAGATTGGTGTTCTACGGTATTGTGGGAAATTTGCTTATCTTCTTGATAACTGAGACTAAGTTTAATCAATCTGTTTCTATTGGAATCGTTTTCATTTTCACTGGACTCTCTTGCCTGATGTCCACCGTTGGAGGGACTGTCGGAGACTCGTACAGTGGTCGTTATAACGCTGTATGGGGAAGTCTTCTTGTTTACATCGTGGGTATTGGAATGATTTACTCGTCATCTCTTAAAATATATAGTATTCTTGCCCATGTTCTTTGCCTGGTTTCCTTGTTCATAATTACCATTGGAGAAGGTGCATTCAAGGCGAATGTAACAGCTTTCGGAGGAGATCAGTTAAGAGGACAGGACGAGCAAAGATATCGGCGATTTTTCAACTGGTATTATTGGAGTATAAACATTGGTACATTCCTGGGATTCTCTGTAATAGCATATGTCGAACAAATGAAGTCATTTTCAGTGGGATTTGGCATTCTTTTTGGTTGCATTGTTTTGGCTGCTGTAGTATTCTGCATTTGTAAATCGCGTTATATTAGTCATCCCCCAACTGGACACATTGTGAAAAAGATATATAACATCATAAAAGAAGCAAAGCAGAAGAAATATGAAGAGGAAAATAATTCTATAAGGTAGAGAGGGTATGGAGTATTTAGCTGAACCAGGGAGTTAATGGAGGGGGGGAGGAGTGCAACAACATTATTGGGACTTTCATTATAGTTAGCCATCTCCAGCTCAGCCAGTCACTTTTGCCTCATTGTTTTGTCTCGGATAATAGCGGAGCTCTCGTGGTCCTGAAGGGTCGCCAAGTGAAGCCCCATACCCATATGGGAAAGGAAAGGAAACCCATGAATTGATTTTGTCATGGTTATCATGGCTAGTGGTATTGCTCATAAGCGTATACATATATCGCGGGCTTGAGTTTAGAAGTCACATGTTTTTTTGAAGTTGACTGCTGATCAAGTGCTGGTTTTCTATTGGATCGTGGGCTCATGTCAGGTTAACTTGTTGTAAACGGGGGCAGGTTGTTCAGAAGCCGGTTTACGCTAACCCAGGATTAACAGTTAACAGGAGTATAAATAATTTTTATATTTTGTATACAAATGTTTTTTCACTACTTTTGTTTTGTGTGTTTTGAGATTATTCAAACTCAAAACAGAAGGCGAAACAATATACAGAAAACCTCACTGCAAAGTTACAAAACTCAAATCAAAATTCGTGCTTAACCTGGCTTATCTTAATGGGGCTTTGAACAAACCGGCCTAGGAGCTCTGTTTTTAGGCTTGGCTAAATCTACTGTATATATTATCCATACCCCTCCCTAAGAATGTTTGTTGGTTTTTAAACCCTACCCCTGCCCCCTCCCTAAACATGAGAATATTCCTATTAAGTTTCAAACTTTCCTTTGGCTTTTGAAACCCTCCTCCCTCAGAGGTTCCACTGAGCAGAGAAAGAAGGGAATCTCTGTCTCACAGTGTATTCCTAGAGAAGACATTTCACTGTCACAGAATGACTGTTGGGCATAAAAATGCTGGAAGGAACCTGGCAGGAACCTGTCAGGAACCGCCATCCCATCTAGGGATGTAACAAAATAGACCTGAATTGACTATCAACAGAAAATTATTGTTCATATTGTGTTCTTCAGGGACAGTAGCACCCGTTTTTATCCTGGCTTAGAGGAATATGTGCCAATCAAAAGCTGGCTGGATCGTGCCATGGTGAAATATGGTGGAAGTTATTTGGATACTGATGTAGAGGAAGTTAAAACAGTTTCCAAGATCATGGCCATTTTTGTAATCCTTATTCCTTATTGGGCAATATATTTTCAGGTTAGTAGTTCATCCGTAGCTGGGAACTACATGTGGCATGAACTTGCTTTCAGCCGTCTGGCAGTAACTGTAGGGCTCAAAAAAACCTTGAATTCCAACTTGTCCTTGGGACAAGTAGCTCTCAAATTTTGCTTGCCCTGGGCAAATCCTAGATGGCTCTTTTAACAATATCATTGACAGACAACTTGTCTCATCAATTGCCCATAGGGCAAGTAGGAATGAAAAGCTACTCTCCCAGAGGGAGAATCTACTTGTACTGGACGACTGGACCACTTTGTCGAGCCCTGAGCTGAGTTCTCTGTCTTTAAATACAGCTATCCTCAAGATTTCATTTACTGTACCTTTCAATAACAAACTCTGAAGTTGAAAACTTAACCATTGAGTAATTTATGCTGTCATTATTACAACACCAAGAAAAAAAACCTTGATAACAAAAAAGAAGCAAAAAAAAAAAAAAAAATGGATCAAATTCTACCAATTACAACCCACAGATGTGACCTTTTGAACCCATTGAAAGTAAACTTCTGTTCCCTGAGAAGTCTACTAAGATGATTGATGGCAGCAAAACACAGAACCGTTGACTGAGCATAGTTCGAGTGTTCTTGAAAGGTGCTGTAAACCACCATATGATTCTCACAGTGTACAGCAGTCAATGAAATAACCATTTTGTAAAACTACAGTTGAAACTTCTAGAAAGAGACACTTTTGGAAGGTGTTAGATTATACTCTTTTGTTTGGTTGCATGTCTAATGAACATCTATCTGTTACAAGCTCTTAGCTGTCAGTATTATGCCTAACTTCTGTATACCAGCACCCTGTGCCATTCCACAACATTAAAATCTGTTTAAAAGCTTAAATGCCTTTACATCATGCCAGCATACATATATAACTCTTGCTTCCATAGAAATATTACTGGCTGGTCAAATTTGAGAGCAGGTGAAGCCGGTAATGTTTAGAGTCCAATGCAGGTAACCATCCTCTCAGAATTTTTCTCCAGGTTTTCCCAGCAATTTGTCCCTCCCAATTTGTACCCCTGGGTAGAGAGAGGCATTTTGTGAAAGTCAAGTGTCTTTCCCAAGAACATGACAGGAAGACTCAACAAACCTCTGCCTTTGGATCTCTCAATTTGGAGGATGTAGCTGGAGGAATATATATGTGATGATTATTTGTTATTTTCTTTTAGATGAATTCCACATTTCTGCTCCAAGGGCTGCACATGAGATTAAGTCTGTTCGGTGACACAAAGCACAGTGTTGTTCCCCCTGCATGGCTCTCTCTAGTGGATATCATTTTTGTACTGATCTTAATTCCTATTTTGGATAAGAAGATTTATCCATGGCTTGATAGGAAAGGATGGAGTTTAAGTGTATTCACTAGAATTTCAATTGGTAAGTTCAGTGACCGTTTAATATTATTGTTCTTTTCAACATTTTGAACTCTTTTCCATCAGGTATTTGAGGACAGTGCTACAAAATTGTGCTTTTGAGACCTTATTCCCCCATGTCTCCTTTATAGTCCCCAGCTCCTGTCATTGCTCCTTACTTGGACATCTCTTTAAAGGCTGGTTTTCACTAGCAACAGAGTCAGAGTTTGAACCATAACTAGAAGCATAGAGCGATCCAGTGAAAATCAAACTAACATAGCCGGAAGCATAATACTAATTCCATTTACAACTCCATTGCTTTTGATTTGTGAAAACTGGATAGTCGGAGTCGCAAGCAGAAGCAGAAAAATTAACCAATCAGAATGCCTGAGATCTAGCATTGTGATTGGTTTGTTGTCCCACTTTTGCTTCCATCTTTGACAATGGAGTTTTAACAGGATCAAAGCTACAGTCATAAGTGAAATCAGAAGTAAATTCATTTGAAATGTTCCAGGTTTGACTCCAATTCTGCCAAGTTTATGACTTGGCTTATGATCCCAAACTTCAATTTTCACTAGGTGGTAAGCATTGTTACAACTCCTAATATGACAGACTCTATTGCTAGTGAAAACTAGCTTAAAGGAAAGTGTCATAGACTGTAATTTTGCCTCTGAGAAAATGTTGTAGCCTAAACTCAGCAAAGTCATTACAAGCCCTAGGATGCTCAGTAATCATGAGAAATGATAAGTTACGGAAAACTCTGGGTCAAACTTTCATGGCTAATTTGGACATAAAATAAAACAGTCCCTAAGGGTTGCCATGACATAGCCCATTGCACACATTCTCAACCTGTAATGTTCGGTTAATGTTATCAATATCACTTTGGGCTATCTTATTTCATTTAAATATGTTGGAATGCTTTGATGAAAAAACTAAAAAACAAAAACAGCACTATATTTTATCCAATGACAGTTTGATCATCTACAGTTTTGTCTTTTTTGTTTTACTTTTCAATTACCAGGGTTCTCGTTTGCTGTTGCATCAATGGTAGTTGCTGGTGGAATTGAAACTGTAAGGAGAACAGATACAAATAATTCTTGTGTGAATCAGACTATTGCTCATGTAAACTACACCGCTTGCATGACTATCTACTTCCAGATTCCCCAGTATGGTCTCATTGGTGTCAGTGAAGTGTTCACCGGTGTAGGGGGTAAGTGACAAAGTCCTGAGATCAAAATGTGAACTTTACTTTGTGGGACATGAAATAAATATCTTCTAGGTGACGATTTTCCTTATTTTTTGTCACCTGTCTGCTTGAAAGTGTATTGTTATTTTAATGAGAAATTAGACCTTGATCACTCTACATTGTAAATAACTGTTAGCTAAGAAATTTTATGGGGCATGTAACTTGAGTTATTGGTGCACATGGTTTTAGAAGTTTGCAGAAATTTTCCCAGTCACATAGCAGCAAGGGTAGATAGTTACCAGTTCGTTTAGCACAAACTAATGCAAATCATAATTTCTGTAATGCGCCTGTCACTGGAAACCCCAATGTTAAACCCTGAATCTGGTTTTCCTGGGTTCAGTTCCCCTTCTCAGTGATCTAGCTGGTGTTTTCCTTGATAGGCAAAGTCCAACTCCTAAGTTACTTGATCTCTTGAAATCTCCAAATCAGTGGCCTGTGTCGTGCTAGTTGGAACTTTTAAGCATGTTACGTTACAGTGGAACCCCGTTCATACGGACACCAAAGGGACACGATAAAGTGTCCGCATTATCCGGGTGTCCGTATTAAGCAGGCTAATTTAAGAGAAAATATATGAGCTTTTTAGTTGTCGGGACAAAGAAAANTATCAATGTCACTTTGGGCCATCTTATTTCATTTAAATGTTGGAATGTTTTGATGAAAAAACTAAAAAACTAAAAAACAAAAACAGCTCTATATTTTATTCAATGACAATTTGATCATCTACAGTTATGTCTTTTTGTTTTACTTTTCAATTACCAGGGTTGTCGTTTGCTGTTGCATCAATGGCAGTTGCTGGTGGAATTGAAACTGCAAGGAGAACAGATAGAAATTGTGGGAGTCAGACTATTGGTCATGTAAACTACACCGCCTGCATGTCTATCTACTTCCAGATTCCCCAGTATGGTCTCATAGGTGTCAGTGAAGTGTTCACCGGTGTAGGGGGTAAGTGACAAAGTCCCGAGATTAAAATGTGAACTTTTTTTGTGGTACATAAAATAAATATCTCTTAGATGATGATTTTCCTTATTTTTGTCACCTGTCTACTTGAAAGTGTATTGTTATTTTGATAAGAAATTAGACCTTGCTCACTCTACATTGTAGATAACTGTTAGCTAAGAAATTGTACAAGGCATGTAACTTCAGTTATTGGTGCACATGTTTTTAGAAGTTTGCAGAAATTGTCCGAATCACATAGCAGCATGGGTAGATTCTTTAAGCACAATTCTTTAAGCACAAACTAATGCAAATCATAATTTCTGTAATGCACCTGTCACTGGAAACCCCCAATGTTTAACCCTAAATCCAGTTTTCCTGGGTTCAATTCCCTTCTCAGTCATCTAGCTGGTGTTTTTCTTGATAGGCAAAGTTCAACTCCTAAGTTACTTGATCTCTTGAAATATCCAAATCAGTGGCCTGTGTCGGGCTAGTTGGAATTTTTAAGCATGTTATTTAACAATTTATTGTTTAAAATAGTAGTCCTGAAAAGCTCCTTGACACAGTGATCATATAAGATATTTACACTCATAAATCCTCTATGTTCACATTCCCCTTGTCTTCTGTTTCAGTTCTGGAGTTTGCATACAAAGAAGCTCCAAAATCCATGCAAAGTTTTGTCATGGGGCTCTTCTTTTTTACCCAGTCATTAGGCAGCTTGTTAGGTGGACTTTTGTATGAGCTTTGTTCTTTTGGAAATAGATGGACTCCAAGTTTGTCTGACAAGTACCAAGAGCGAAGCCTCAACAAAAACCATTTGAATTATTATTTCTTCATTCTTGCTGGCCTGCAGTTCATCACTTTAATCATCTTCCTTGCTGTAACAGTCAAATACAAGATCATTCAATTCCACCG